CCTTTCTCCGGGAGACATGGCGGTTGGCTTATCAAGAAACGGTTTATCCGGTTCCTGATTGTTGTGATTGGATCATTGACGATCCACGGGATGAAAACCTCGTGGTATTACCTCCGATTGTGGAAGATAAACGCAAAACCGGTAAACCCAAACAAAATCGGTTTCCAGGCCCCAGCGAACCGCGGACGAAGCGTTCAAAGAAGGACAAATAAAGATATTGCATAAATAATATGATTGTATGATTTCATGTAGTTCTCGTGACCCATGTGATTGTATACATTATCCAGAAGGACATCTATTTGATTCTCTTTGCATTAGTACCGTGTTAAAGTCTTGAATAGATAGAAAAAAGTTTTGAACTGTGTGACCCATGTGACTCACCCGTGACCGATGTGACCCGAAGCCATTTTTACACTATGTGACCCATGTGACCCGTGACTCAGTGGTACTTATAAAACACGGTCAAATCTCGATTTTAAAGTGTTAAAATGGTTTATATGATGTTTTACAATGATAATATGGTATCTGTAAGTTAAATTTGTTAACAAAAGTAAGAGTTATATGAACATTAGTACAATTTGTTCATAAGTTGTCATGAAACACTAGTATCACTTATGAATTACATTTGTATGAGTGATTTGAATATGAAAATTGAAACGAACATGATTTTAAAGTTGTTATTGATGTTAAAATCCATGATTAATCACTGAATAACCATGTCAAGTCACTAATTCGATAAATTCGACCAATGTGACCCATGTGACCCATGTGACTCATCTGTGACCCGTGACTCAGTGACCCATGTGACCCGCGTGACCCATTGGACTTATGTTTTTTTTCTCTTATTTCCAAGTAAAATTAAAATCCAAAATACGAAAGAATTTACAAAAACTGATCATTGGTATGGTCCCATTACAAGTCAAGGTATAATCCAAACTACGAAAGAGTTCACAATTAATAACGGGTCAGTTCATGCAAATTTACCATTACAATATATATCGATAGCCAATTTTTCACGGATCATTGTTATGGTCCCATCGCATATCGACGTGAATTCTGCTCCCTTGTTCAACATTATTCCCTCCACGTATTTTGCAGCATAGACACCAGAATCAGAACCTGTTGCATTTTCATGAAGCCCAATCTTGTACTGAACCTCAAGAAAATCCCCTTTACGATGTTGGAATAGATATTGGAATTGTGATTCTTTCTCGAAGTATGTCCATTCATCATGTGTCAGTTTTCTTTAAGCGTCTTCAGTGTCTCTTCGAAGAAAACTGAATGTCTTCGAATTTGTAAACAAATGGAAGCTGCAAAATAAAATAATTGTTCATCATTGTGTTCTTTGTGACCTGGGACCTGGGACCCGTGGCTCATGTGACCTGTGACCTATGTGACCCGTGACCCGTGACCCGTGACCCGTGTGACTCGTGTGCGGTGTTGTGAGTTCTAGTATACTATTACCATATAAATCTCTGTCACTCATGTGACCTGTGACCCACATGACCTTGAGACTTAGGAAATCATTAAACTTGCCAAGGTATTCCGAAATCCCACATTATATATTCCACAGGTCCCAGGTCCCAGGTATTCCGAAATCACACTCTAACTTTCTATTTCGAATTCCTAAAACCCAAATTATATATTTCAAAACACAAAACCCTAACTTTATATTCAGTAATCCCAAAACTTTAATTTTCAATTTCGAAATCCCTAAACCCTAAATTCATATTTTGAAATACCAAATCATACAACAATTTTAATGATTTTACTCTAGGATTAGGTCATAGAAGAAAAAACGGAGAAGAAGATGTAGATAAACCTACTGTTTCTAATGGGAGATCTTTCTCCGATGATGAAGGCGATGAACCGGCCTGAGACGCAGATGAAGACGAAGCAGAAAGCACATGTGTTCTTGGATCCATAGGTGTTTGATTTTTCACACAAATCACAATAGAGATACCGAAATTACAAAGAAAATGGGTTCAATTTTCTGAAAATCTCGAAACAGAAATCGCGCTAGAGAGACAGACAGTTTTCGAAATGCTGGAAGAGAGAGAGAGGGGACTGCATGGAGAGGGAGTTTACCGAGGGAGAGTGAGTGTTTTTTTTAATTTGAAAAAGTTGGGTATTTTTTAATCGAAAAAGTAATGGTCTTTTTGGTCTTTCATTTAAAATTTAGGGTTATATGTGTCTTTACTCCATTTCAGATTTTATTTTTTTTAGATTTATTTTTAGAAGGGTACTCAATGAAGTAAGGATAGCATTTTAAAGGCATTTTTGCTATATTCCCTGCTAAGGATCTAAACATCGATCAATGGAAACATGGAGGAGGATAATGTGATCTCTCGTACTGAAGAATATAGATGATATATATATATATATTTATATAAAAGTACAGTAGAATCATATGGGAGTGACACATGTCATATTTACAAGAAATTAATGCAAATGATCTACTAATTTATAACGTGTAAATCTTTGAAACGTGGTGTTCTCAACTTTTATTAATGCATATTAAATTTAGTCAGTAGATAGTGCTCCTTTCATTGAAAAAGAATGAGTTCAATTAATAAACTCTAAACTATAAATGGTGATTATGTGCTCTAAACGTTCGTATCAGCAATACAACTATCAACTGATTATATATTTTGGTGTTGGAAAGTGCTTGAAATCAAAGGTCTACTCCTACAAGTTCAGGTTTGCAATCCGATTTTAATTTGTTCTGTGATATTTCTTTTGATTCTATATATATATATTTTCCAGTATTTTGATTGTGTATTTCGTTTTTGATAAGGGGTCAACATTAATCTTTGGTAACTATTACACCCGTGATAGTTTTATAGATATAGAGTTTTCCCTGTCTTACATATGAATTTTCATGTTTTACAGTAAATTTAGAAAAATGTTGAAAATGAAACTGAATTATCATATATACATATGTAATCAAGAAAAACTTTTTTAAAATGTCGTAAATTAATAATCATTTTTTAGCAATAAGTTCTTAAGAAATTCTGCAAAAAAAAAAACATAATATACCAATCGAAAGATTTATTTGAATAAAGATTTATTTGAATAATGTGATATGGAAGTTTCAAAATTCTAGAAAATAGCTTCATATGCTATTTAAAACTCATGGTATATCTCTTAATTCAGCCGTAGAATAATAACAATTATATTATATTATATTATATTATATTATATTATATTATATTATTATATTTTTTTGTTTGGGTTTTTTTATTATGAATATGATATTTTTCTAAAAGAATTTTTTTTATTAGTTTCCTATAGAATTTGGATCAGATTATTTTAATTTTTAAAAAAAATCATATTCCACCTATTTTAAATCAGATTTAATTTATATATATAATGTATAATTATATTTGTTTCTATGTAATTTTGTTCTTAACGTTGAATTCAAATAATGGTAAATAAAATTTTTTATTTAAAACAACTTGCACAAATTGGATTTATTTATTTTTTTCTATAATTAAATCCATTCTTAAAATTTCAGACATATACGTATGTGAATATGTTTATGAAAAAAAGATTGATGGATACTTTATAACTTTGTAATCTAATATTGTTATGAGAATCCTTATAGAATAAATAAGGTATATTTATAAGAATTTAATGCAAAAAAACTTCTATGTAAAAGTATATTTCATTATCTTAGTTTTAAACTCTTATATATACAAAGATATATTTCTAAATATTATAGAAAAATAAAATAGATCTGATGATGCAATACATTTATATTATTTTAAAAAATGTATAATTCCAAGCAAAATTCTTTTTAAAATTTTCTTATATTAATATCATATATAATATGTAATCTATATCTTTATTTTATTTATAAAAAGTAAAAGAATATGTTTTTATTTCTTATTTTTTGTTTAAACTGTTTGTTTTTTATATTTGATTAGTAGTATTTTTCTGAATTTACTTTGATAACAATGAAGATTAATCAGCCAAATATATCATTTGGTTAGTGTTATCAATTTGTTAAATGTAAGAAAACATAACATTTTATTGGTACCAAAACATATATTTAATTTTTTTTTATATTTATATCAATATATATTATATATGTTTATATATAGAAGTAAAAAAAATTGTTTTTGTTTACCGACTTTTGTTTAACATGTTTGTTATATCTATATATATATATAATTTTATTTTTTGATTTAAGTTTACTAACAATGAATCACGGGTTATATAGTTATTATTCTCCACATCTATATATATAAGTTATTTAGAACAATTTCGTTGATCAACCTAAACATCACTTATGTTGCATTTTGTTAAATTTTTATTAATTTATATAAAATATAATATTTATCTGCTAATCATATTTTTTATATTTTAAATATGATATCCCACCAATTTTTGTGTGTAAATACATATATTATTTCATTCAACGATTGCCTAATTCATATAAATATAATGAATAAATATACTATATTGCAAATAATGTTGTTATTGATCAAATAAAATTTATTGTAGGAATATAAAAATCAGATGCATCCAGTGATATCAACCCACGTAGGATTGGATCAGATAAGTATACATCATAGTTATCGGTGTATTATGGTCAGATTTCTACGAATATGGGATGAACGAAATCCTTTCAATGGGAATAGGTTCAATGGTATCGGATTCTTATTAATTGATGAAAATGTACGTTCTAATTAATATTGATTTTCTTATACTATGTTTATTAAAAATCTAATCTTTTCTACTTATAATGTTGCAGGAAAATGTTGTTGAAGGAAAAATATTTGAGGATCATGCAGAAAATTTTAAAAATATAATGAACGAAAGAGATATATTTTTAATCAGACATTTCAAGATTCTACCAAATAAATATATATACAAATTAACGAACAGTAAATTTCTTATTTATTTTACAGAATATACTACTATTGAAAAAGTTGTTGTAACTACTTATAATATTTCCAAAGAAAAATTTCGAATATGTTTATACGATGATTTGTTGGCGTTGGCAAACAAAAAACACGATCTACCAGGTATGTGATAATATAAAAAAACCAAAAAGAAAATATTGGATCTTATAATTAATATATTCTCTAATGTTGTAGATATTATTGGAGTTTTAGTCGTAATACAAGGATCAAATTTACGAATGTCGTCGTCAACTCATAAAATTATTCTTCGTTTATTATTGAAAGAGTAAGTTTTCAAATTTTATTCACACTGCAAAAAATATCATTTTATAAAATTTTAACTAAATTAGTTTTATACAAACTAACATATAATTTCAATTTAAAAACCAGTAACAATATCGTCAAGCTTTCTATATGGGATGATCTCACTGCAGAACTCCGTTTACAAATTCATAGATTGAATGTCAGAAAAATTATCGCAGTCATTACGGGTGTAAATCCAAAGATTATTCACGGTAATTATTTAACACAAATTAATTTCTAAATACTTGATAGATTAATATTTAAAAACCATTATTACTATTATATTGAGTTTACTAATACATTTTATGTGTCAGGTGTTCTATCACTCAACACATCATCTACAAAGATTTACATAGATGAAAAATTGAACATTATCAAAAATTTCCGTTTAAGGTAAATAAATTATATCATTCTTGAAAAAAATCTATATTTATAATATTTACCAAAATAATTTTTATTATTACCTAATAACTGAATTTTTGGCAGGCATTGAAGAAAGTTACACCAGTACTAAAGACAACCATAATAAATCAGTTACAGTGAAATGGTAAAATATCTATGCAGTAATAACAATATTCTGTCATTGATTTAATTTTGTTTGCAAAAAAAATATAATAATATTTTTATATTATTAAAGTTTTCTATTTATATTTAGTTCATCTCAAACAACTTATCTTAGTTTTTGCTACAATCATAATAAAAAATTAAATACAAATATAAACGTCAAGTATTTCATATCATACTACAACTCAAAATCATCATAAAATCATTACAATCAACCAAACCAATTGATTTAATAAGAACCGAAAAATATTCAATTTTAATTTACTGACGTGGCATGTTCACGTAGTAAATTTTAATTATCTGTCCTATATTTACTTATCACAATTTACCAAAATTTAACGTCATTGGAGATGGTGTAGAAAATTGTTAAACATTTTGAGATTTGAGATTTCAAGTCTATACGATACACGTAGATTATTACCTAGATTAAAAATAAAGACTTAAAGATAAAAACGGTCAACAAAATATAAAAAATGATAAGAAAAACATATAAAGAAAGAAAATAGTGGTAAAAATATTACGGATATCTACAAATTTTATAAAATTTATGAATAAATTATATTTTGTTAATTATAGAATAGGATATAATACCTCATACTATTATATTTAGATTCATCCTTATCATCTTATTATTTTCACAGTATGACAAAAAAATATTTTAATAGAATAATTTAAATGATAAATTTAAAACAAAATTTATTATATTTAATTTTAAATATAAAAAATTATTTAAATTCGTAAATATTCAGTCCGTGCGATTCGCGCGGGTTATTATCCAGTATATATAAAAAAAAAGTAAAGACCCTTTCAAGTTTTATTAGGGTCACAATCCAGAAACATCTCATCTCATTACTGTGGGGCCATTAATGTAAATATTTGAATGTCCTAGAGAATGTGATGTCCAAAAAAAAAAAAAAAACACTCTCATCTAGTTATGCCTAAAGTTTGAGATGAAGAAACACAAGATATCAAAGCAAAGCCTACTTCCTTGAGTTTTTCTTCTTCGAACTCGCGGTCACTTGTGGTCGGGGATGCTTCTCAGCCTCACTCGGGTCCAACCACTTGAGAGGGTGATGATTGAAGAACGGCCAGTTAGGGACGGTGATCAGAGTGGTGAGAACCACACTACCTGCATAGATCAACATCATCATCCTAAAAGATCCCATTGAATATCCCGCAACAATTGCGATGACACCGAAGATCAAGAGCAGGACCTGCATCAGCTGCTCCGTCAATTTTTGCCCTTGCCAATCCATCACTGCATATTTGTTCAAGAAAATAAACATATAAATTCTGGATGTCAAAACCATAGAGCATTTCCAATTGCGGTTCGGATCTACTTTCTTAGAACACATCAAACTGATAAAGCCATAGAAAACGAGGAATGCGGATCTAGGTTGATATGCCCTCTCAGTGAAAACCTTAACTTTGAATCGTGGAATAATAAAGAAGCAAGAAAGCACAATCGCTGAAGATGAACGGGAGAACGAAACATTGTTTTGATATTGTGTATACAACGGATAAACTCTACTCCTAGATTTCAATATTACACAGATTCAATATTAAACCAAAATCTCACTGGTTGAGCTGAGAAAGAAAAGGAAAAGAACCAAAAACACATATGAACAATCAGAGATTGTTTTAAGAAAGACGACGAACGAAGATGGTAAGGATGGAAGATTCCTCTGAAAAAAAAAAATTGAAAATGAAGATGAGAGCTCTACACATATGTGGATTCAACAGAATCATATGCCTGACATTATCCAGAGACAGAGTCCCTTCGAACCTAACTCAATGCATCAACAAAACTGGATCGACCTCAAGGAGGCCTCACAAATCGAATCAAATTGAGCATACACAACAAAGCAAAAACCCTGATTGCCAAACACCAAAGATTCCATGTGCTACATCCAGGGGAAACACCGATCCGAAGCTTTACAGAGATCAAATGGAATTTAAACAGGAAATCATCGCAGCCCACGGTCAGATATTCGATCTAAGCAATACCAATACGCCGTAATCTAAACTCCAAATCGGACAACTTCACAACATTAACAGCTACGCCCACAGTGGAAAAAAAATCAATAACATAGCGATCTAAGATCAGAGACAGAAGAAGAGAGAGCCATACCTTCGCTTCCCCGAAACCTCTCCTCAGCAAAATCGAAAGTTTCGTGCCCACAGCCGTCGAAACTCTTTTTGAGGGGACGACGGTCAGAGACAAAATGAAAAAAATAAAACAAAAACCCAATCGCTTATTACACAGGCCCAGTATTTATAAAGGCCTGTAATATTATATTGGGCTTTTTTCAGGTCCAGAGTTACAATAAAAGTTTTAGGTTTTACAATATTTATAACAGTTTCAAAATCAATTAAAAGACTGGGCATGTTTTCTATTGAACATTGGACAGACCGGTTATTCATCTAATCTCAATTTAATATGTTTGCATTTCTGAATATTATTCAGAAATAGTCCGGTTTACTACGTTTGTAATTAGATTTTAAATCTGTGTTTAACAAGGGAACTTTTCATTTAATCCCACGTAGCGGCGATCCTTGTCATACCGGTAAATATTTGATTTCAGCCGTCAGATTGGGTCGAAAAACACAACCTGTAACTTTTATGACCGTCGATTTAAAAACGAGGAAAACACAGTGACGAGCCATAATAACCGCTCGATCGCCATCGTTATTTATAAATACGATCCAAATACGTTGTCTTTGAAGGTTTTTTGTTGCTATATTCAGAGTTGAAGGGATCGACGTGAAGGAGACAGGGATTCAGAGGAAGAAGATCAGGTATGATTTTCTAAATTTTACGAATTTAGGCCTCTTGGTTATGTACCACTCTGTGTCGTTGTCAATGATTTAATTGTCGAAGTGAAAGGGTAGAGTTACTGGTAATTGTAGGGTTTAGATTAGGGCATGTAAATCGAGTATCCGGTTTTGCACCGGAAGACATTGTTGTTTGTTGTTCCTGTTGCTCGTAGTAAACCTGATTGGTATCTGTTTTGCTTAGAGATGTCATAGATGATGCTCTTCTGTGTTTGACAATTGCGGGTATGGTCTGGATCTGCCCTAGCGCGGTTCCTGTTGAATGATGAATTTAGCTCTGTTTTCCATAACTTTATTTGGCTTTGATGGATACTTTTTATCAGGCGTATGGTAATTGTATTTGGTAATCGCCAGCTTTCTGAGTTGCCTTTTGATTGGAGTTTAGGAAGTGTGGTGATTTACTGATGTTTTGCTTATGAACAGATGGCTCGTACCAAGCAAACAACTCGTAAGTCCAGTGGAGGGAAGGCCCCAAGGAAGCAGCTTGCTACCAAAGTATGTAATTTGTCGTAATCTTTTGAGTTGGTGTGGTGATTTCGATGAGATTTGCAGTATTTACCTGTCATTGTTGTGTTCTTGTTTTAGGCTGCTCTTAAGTCTGCCCCGACCACCGGTGGAGTCAAGAAGCCCCATCGCTACCGTCTTGGAACTGTTGCCCTTCGATGTGTAGATCTTTTACCCCAATTTTTCCCGGGATCTCTGTATGGAATTACTTGTTTTAACGAAACTTTTGTTTGTGTGGACAGTGAAATCGCAAGTACCAGAAGAGTACTGAGTTGTTGATTCGAAAGCTTCTGTTCCAGAGGCTTATCCGTGAGATTGCCCAGGATTTCAAGGTAACTTCTTGGGCATTTTCGGATAAATACAAGCATATGGATAATGCCTAATCTTTACGGTGTAATCGCGTAATTCTTTTTGGTGGGCTATTGCAGACTGACTTGCGTTTCTAAAGCCATGCGGTGTTGGCACTTCAGGAGGCAGCAAAAGCGTATCTTGTGGGTCTATTTGAGGACACCAATTTGTGCGCCATCTACGCCAAGCGTGTCACCATAACCGAAGGATAACTGACTCGTCGGATCAGGGGCGAGCGTGCTTAAGATGGGTTGAAGCGGCCAAGTGGTGGTTCTAAATAGGAGGATTGTTATAGATAGGGTTATGCTTTCTTCTTCTGTGTTAGGAGGACTTGTGTAGTATCTGTGTGCTCCTGTGTCGGTTTTTGTCTAAGTCCAAATATGTGGTGACAGTTGGTTTTGTTAAGGGCATTGTCGTATCTGTGTGGCAATAACCCTTTTGTCGTACTTCGTCGTCTTGAGCATTTGATGGGTGTCTATAACGTACTTGTGTTTGGTTTGTGCTAATCTGTGCGGAGCACGTGTGTGATGTCTTTGTGCTCTTGAAACTAGCCATTGTTTTTGGACACGATCGTTAATGATAATGTATGATGATGCTTGAATTCCTTGGAAAGGGCATTGCCAGTATCTAATAATCTCCAATGATCTTAGCCGTTGGATGGACAGTTGGAACAAATCTTGGAGCTCTTGAAATTGTTGGTTTATTATTAGTATTAGTAGCACCATCATTCCCTGCCTCTATTTTAACAATGTTATAGCTATAGACGGGCTTAGCAGTTTCGAAGTTGTAAATGATGCCGCTTTCAAATTCGATGACTTTCAATTTGATCTCAATTTCATTGTCATCAAGCGTGTGCGTTAAGTTGTTAACAATTACATTGTTATCATCTCTTGGTCGGTGAGTTTGGAGCTTCGTCTTGAAAAGGATATACCGTGTCTTGACTTTGAAGGTGTCTCAAAAGCAAATAGTCTGCGGCCGCCGTCAATAAAACAATAGTTGAAGGGAAAAAAATCCGAAGAACTAAAAAAAAGGATGTTGAAGATGAAGAAGGCGGCACAATATCTGTCATCCATTGTTTGTCCCCCAAAAAAAAAAACTTCTCTAAAATTGTCTCTATTTGTTACCTACGGAGAGCTAATTCGCCATTTTTGTCATAATTTCTCTTTGTGCGGTTTAAACAAACCCTTTTCCCTCTCTCTCTCCCCTTTATTATCGACCATTCTCATTTTCGTCTCTCCACCATTCTTTGCAACCCCCTTCGAAAAGATGGTACAAGACTAAGATTCGAGACCGTCCAGAGGGATCGAACCAGATAGAGCCACCGCCACCATGAACAATGACACAAGACATTCGTCCGGTCTGAAGACGGTGAGCCAGACCTTATCATCCCCTAAGCATTCAAGCAAGGTTGCTGATATTGGTACCGAGCTTTCCAGGATGAGAGCTTCGTTGGATACCAAAGAGACCGAAACCAAATCTCTGATCGACGATTTGTCTGAGAAAAACGTTAGGCTTCGAGAGCTTGAAGCGGAGTTGGATAAAAGGCGATTGTCTGAAAGAAAACTGCTCGATTCGCTCCACGCAACGAAGATTCTGGTCGACGAATCGAAGACCGAGATCGCCTCTCTCAAGGAGAGGCTCGACGGGTCAGATCACAGCCAAGAATCCAGCGAAGACGACAGTTCTGTTCAGGAAAACGAGGCTGAGTCTCTGAGGACGGAGCTTGAAGCTTCTTCCTTGAAGCTGTCAGGTTTAGTACAAGAGATGGGTTCGGTCAAAAACGAGCTGAAATTGGCGACAGAGGCGGAGGTAACGAGCAAGAAAGCCATGGATGATTTGGCCATGGCCTTGACGGAAGTAGCCACAGACTGCAACCAAGCTAAGGAGAAGCTTGCGATTGCAGAGATGCAGCTCGAGGCGGAGAGGCTAGAATCGAATAAATGGAAGGCGAAGCTTGAGGCTACGGAAGAAAACTACTACACCCTTTTGCAGGAAGCGAGAAAGGAGGCTGAGGTTCATAAGAACACGACCGAGCGGCTGAGGATCGAGGCCGAGGAGTCGCTCCTGGCATGGAACGGGACAGAGGCCGTGTTCGTGAGCTGTATCAAGAAAGGGGAAGACGAGAAGAATTCCCTCATCGACGAGAACAACAGACTGATTCAGGCTCTGATGAACGCCGAGAATCTGAGCAGGAAGGCCAAAGACGAGAATCATAAGCTGAGGGATATATTGAAGCAGGCGATCAACGAGGCTAACGTCGCGAAAGAAGCAGCCGGGATCGCCAGAGCCGAGAACTCGCAGCTGAAAGATGCGTTGATGGAAAAGGACGAGGAGCTTCAGTTCTCCTTGCAGGAAGTTGAGCGATTGAAGCTCAGAGAAGCCATGACTAATGAAAATGTAAAGAATCTGACAAGACTCCTGTCTGAAGCAGAGTTGGCAAAGGAGTTAATGGCAGAAGAGAAGGACAGATACAAGGTTATGAGCCGTCAGAATTCGTCGGGAAAGGAGAACAGCCCTAAAAACCCAATGCAGAAGGATCAAGAATTGGAGAAGAGGATGGAAGAGAGAGAGAAACTGAATGAGAAGAGAGAAGACAAGAAGGAGAATCACAAGGACAAGAAGGAGCATCACAAGGACAAGAAGGAGAACCATAAGGAGAAGAAAGAAGACAAGAGAATGGGGAAGACGTGCAGTTTCAGTCTGAGAGACCTAAAGCTCACACACTCACACAACAGTCACAAGCATAAAGACACAACAGAGGAAGAAGCAACAAAAACTGCAACAAACAATAACAACAACAACAGACAAGATCAAGATGGAATGGAGGAGGTGGAGATGGAGAGCGAGGCCAATTCTCCAGATGGGTCAGATCCCGATCTCTTCAAAGGCTCCATCTTTGATGTGGCCGAGACACCAAATGCAGAGACAACCCATCATCACAGGAGAAGATCATCCTCAACGTTCTTGGAAGATGGTATGAATTCGGATGATTTAGAGAATTTGGAGGGAACCCACTTCGAGGAAGGCGAAAACGAAAAGGGTGGAAGAAAGAAGAAGGCGTTCATACGGAGATTTGGGGATCTTCTCGTCAGGAGAAAGAGCTTTCAACAAAAGAAAGAAACGTCGTCGTCTGATCAGCAAGAGAAACAGCAGCTGCAGCAGCCGCCATTGACTCCGCCGCCAACCCCGCCTCAGCTTCCGTCCCCAGAGCACTGAAAATGTTCATAATGTAAGAGCTTTGAAATTTAATTTTTTTTGGTTATATTTAGTTTTTATTTTTGCAAATTTCAATACTACCCCTTGTTGAATCTTGCTTTACAGGGTTTTTGTATATATATGAATCCAATTCATGAATTCATTTTTTTTTCTAATAAGGTTTTTTCATGTAATCTATGATTGTTTATCACCAAATATTTAGAACAATGAGAATAAAGCAACATAAGCAAATTCATGTTTTTCAGAAGATTTAGAGGGGAAAAAATTTAAAACAATAATTAAAACATGTGGTTAGAACAATTATAAAGAAAGAAGTTTGTCTCTTCATTTAGCATAAAAATAGAATTCCACTTTATTATACATTGGAAAGAAAGTGGAATTCAATTTATTTATAGTATAAAAAAAAGTGGAGATCAAAGTGTTATCTTTTCTTTTTTATATGCCTCTGCTGCTAGTGCTTATTCTTGTCCTTTTGGTGTAAATTCACTTTCTTTTCCTTTATGTTTCATGGAAGTATCAAATAAAGCATAGCTAAGATGTCCTTGTTGTATATATAATAATATAATGTCATAAGAATCATTCTGAGATCGACTTATGATTTTGCTATTCATAATATTAGATATTTTATTCATTGTCATTTCCATTTGAAGTCCGTGAAGAAAATAACAACTAGGTGTACATTTTTATAAAATCGAATTATCATGAATCCACAAATTAAAAGGGATTATATATATATATATATATATATATATTGTGTAGATTTTTCTAAATAAAAAAGAGACATGAAAATGAGATATATTCCATCAAATTGAAAATCTATTGGCCATACGATGTAAAGGTACTACCAACTTCTGATGGGAACATCCTGAGTTAGCATCTCTCAGCTTTCTGCCTCCAACAAGGTGGGCCGGACTTCCAAAAGTGGGGCCTATATTCCTCCACTACGGTAATGGGCCTCTATAAGGCCCAATCCCTGCCGTCCACGTCATCTCACATTTTCGATCTACTCTCTCGTTGCCACGTGTTGCGTGGCCGTCGGCCTCGCGCATCATTGCTTCGACGCGATAACATCTGCGGTATGTGTCATGTGTGTATACACTAATAATTCTTATTTATGTATAATTCTTATTTATGTATCATACACACATGGAGTTGCAGTATATGTATATATGCGTATACGTATATAATTGCTATTCCAAGTATGTATCATGCATGTATTATGTATACATACATATATATATATATATATATATTATAAAAACGACACGGGTTAGCATTTCATTTGTTTGAAATTAACAATATGAGAAATGAAAGATCCTCAAGAAAGAGATCGGATCTTATAAAAGTCAAGGAACGTAATTTTTTTTTAGTTGGACATTATATTATAAACCTTGTAACTGAAGCAACCATGTTTCATTGGCTATATATATATATATATATATATATATATATATATATATATATATATATATATTTATATAATAAAAAA